TCCTTGAAACTAGTGATAAGTTAACTAATCGCGGCTATTATTGTTGAAAATGACATATCGGGAATTGGATTGCTTTATAATGACAACATTTTCAGCATATACAGAAGTGGATCCCACGTGAAACGCTATTAAAAATTTCAATAATAACACTTCGATTTTCTAGCATTGTCTGTGATGCGATTATCTTTAAAATAGCGAAAAACCCAAAAGATAATTTCAGCTAAAATTAGTGTCTTACTCGATCTTAGTTCGTGACTCATTCAAACGATCAGTTGTCTGGCAACAAAATCAAATGAAATTCAATACATGTAAGCATATAATTTTTAGTTGACTGCCAAACACTTTCAGGTTTTTTTTTAAGATTGCATAAGACATCACTTTTTTACACGGCTATTTGTTATTTTCAAGTATCCAAATCCAATAGAAGCTAATAAACTGCGAAATGAACATTGGAAAGTTTAACTTTAATATATTAAAGTTAAATACTCCCAAAAAAAAAATTAAAAAATCTAATAAACTATAATAAGTATCAATATAATTTTAAAGCGTTATTTTAAAAATCAAAAGTTTGATAGTACTTTCGTAAGTATAAAGTTAATAAGGAACTTATTGGGTAATTTTGCATACTCAATAGACTAGAATTGTTGTAACAATATTTTCGTTTCTATGATTGCTGTACAAATATATATATAATTATAAACACCCTTAATTTGGTTATGGCATCGATCTCACAAAGCCAGTTATTTCTGATTTGTGTTGCTAATAATGTGCGGTTGACTTTGCTGGCCAAAGAAGGCAAACACAAAAAGATGGAATCAAAAATGCAAACAACTATATCCCGGCTTGATTGAAAGGTAAATACTGCATAAATGGACAGGAGCGCTGGCTCGAAGGATGGTGGTCGCAGACAAAGGGTCCTGGCTTTATAGCCACCTGCTGGGACCACCTGTTTAGATATGCTTCGGACAAAAGAGTCCCGGAATCGAGACAAAGAGCATAGCGATGTGGAAAATAATCAGTGATAAAATAAGAGCATAAAAGGACCGCCACCAAAAGGGGTGGCTGAAACTGAAATAAATTCGGAAGTGGGAGTGCCACTTCTCAGGGGTGGACTCTATGAATAGAAAAATTGTATGCATTATCCGGCGGATTCATGTTAATAGGCCTCATTTAACGCTGCTGGGGTAGATGGTAGATTTTGAAGACCTGCAATACCAATAAAACCATAAAAATCACTTCTTCTCCCCCTGCACAAACATGTTGGTAGGAACAACCAGATACTCGTACTTCTTTCGGAACACAGTTTCTGTTTCATGTTTTGGTTTTGGCCTTATCAATTTGGTACATTCCGTGTGTGTGTGTGCGTTTGTGTGTTGTTTCTACGTGAGCACAAGGTAGGCACCTTGTAAGCGGTGAAACAGAGTGTCAACAACGGTGTTGTGTTGCCTTCTCAATGGGCAAATCTTGTACCAGACCAGGTACAGACGATATAGTCGATATAGACGATAACCGCAGCAGGAACATACGGTCTCGAAGATACAGGCACACCTGAAAATAGAAAATAGAAAACGAGTAGGATGCCCACGTTGCGTATTTATAGATACCCCCGCAGATACTCAGATATCGCGGCTGGGTAAAGTCTTATCAACGTTCAAGGTATCGACTGAAATGCCGTTCAAATATTTACACCAGCAGCAAAAAGATATTCCGGAGCTACTGCTCCAGAGTCCGGACTCCGGAGACGATGATGATAAGCGGGAGCGGACATGGGTGCGCTAATTGCGGAATGATAAAAACAGAACAGAAAGTTGCTAACCGTGGCGGCTACCATGGACTACCACTCCCTTGGACCATCAGCCCCTTTAAATGCCAACGCCTGCGGGCCAAAAACCACGCAAATGTTCCATCAACTCGGTTACCATTGCCAGGATTTTGGATTCAAAAAAAAAAAAAAAGAATAACAAAAACGCGAGGGAGATTGCTTTTATTTGGCAGTAATTTAAATACCCTGGCTAGATGTTTTCACTTGCTTCATTTTACATTTAGAGAACATTTAAAATTGTATGTTTGCCTCTGTGGGTATCTACTCTTATTTTTATTTCTTTCTAAAACTAAAGAAAATGTTATAAAATATTTAAAAAAAAGTTGTACATTTTAATTTTTTTTCCAAAGATTTTTTTATATTATTTGTTTTTACTATTTGTAATTTTTTTAACCTACAAAAGAAGCTTGACAAGCCAAACACATTAATTACATTTTATTTTAACTAACCGGAATAAAACTTAAATAATACTTAAAATAAAGAACTGGAGAAATTTAAACTATATCTGAATTATATGAAATTTAAACTATATGTATGCTTCAGACTGTTTCTCAAAAAATAGCATCATCAAAAACTGTAGATTCAAGAAACAAAACAAAGACTTTTCATATGACTCTTTGAAGTCTCTGAAATTTATGCATATTCTTTATTCAATGCATTGCTAAGTGCTGGTGAAAAATCGTAAAACTCTCTGCAAGGGTATAACAATTAAATAAAATAAGAATTCGTATCTCTGTTCACTTTGTTATTGCCAGCATTTTCGACTCGTATTTGCCTAAACCGGCCCCTAAGGAATACCAAGGAGCTTCCTGAACCCCAACACGTTGCTAGACAGTCCTTCGGTGGAATGAGGGTACAGCATCGAGGATGAGGATGAAAATGAGGATGCGGATGCGGATGCGGATACGGATGCCTTGTTCCTCTTGTTTCCTCTCCGGGTTGTTGGCAGCTTCGAGCATATTACATAAAATAAGAAAAATTATGATTTCCACAGAGGGGGAAGAATTTCGGGCGAACAGAGGGGCAGGCTGTTGCTTAACTGTCAAAATCGTGTAATTTAATAAAGTTCGCTGCGGGATATTGTTTTTTATAGAAGCCAGAGCAACATTGAGACAGCTTTTGCCAGCTGCCAAATGGGGAGTGGCTGGTAAATTGTGGCTGTGTTTTTTTTTTTCCATTGCGAGGGGAGAGTTGGGGCAATGTGGCTCCTCAAAGTGTGCTGCACAAATACAAAAATATTCAGTTCACTTTAGTTACATACAACATTGCAACAACGCAATGTTGTCTTGTGGGTCCGCCACAGGCACTCCACAAACACACTCAAGGGGGGGGAGGGAATACCCCATTTTATATATATCTATATAGACATACATATCCGTATATATAAACATATATAGATGCGCAATGTTTTCATACATTTCACTTGTTTACTCCAAAAGCAGCGAAAAAAGTTTTTACTTAGGAAAATATACAGAACTTGTGCGTTGTGGTGAGTGAAAAGCAATCCTGGAGTCGGGAAAATGTCTGAGACCTTCGCAAACGATAAAATCTAAATAAATTTTACTCCTGATCTTACTTTTGAGTCCTTAATCCACTTCTAATGCTTAAATAAAATATATATATATTTTTTAAGCATTAAATAGGTCGTTGACTAGTCATAAGAAAATGAGTTTTTGAATGTTTAGTTAACTATTTTGATATTTTTTTAAATTATCCAGGAGAAAATTATCAAATAGTAATAAAATTAATCAATAATTCAATTTAAATGTTTAACAACATTAATAGTTCTCAATGAAAATATATTATAATAAAAATGTAAAACAATTCCTAGTCATTTAAAGATTTAAGTTTTGGTTTTGGCCAAGTAAGATAATTTTAAATAACTTTAAGTATACACAGCAAACATTTTGTATAGAACTGAAATTTATAACCCTCAACAATAGCCCTTATAAAAGCTAGTCCCAGATGTCTTTGCTATTCTCAGCTGACATCTCCAACCATTTTCGTGTCGTTTATTTTTTACCAAGCGAAATTCCTATTTTATTTTATTAAGCAGCGAAGAAATATAAAAGTAAACAGTTGACTACAAAAACACACATGACTGTGTACACCCTCCTGCTAGAAGTACAAAAAAAAAATAAAAAAGAATAGCGAAAGACGAGCCCTTACTCCACAAAAAACCCACGCCCACACATTTCCAGCGTCATATGAACGCCCCATTATTTACTTAACATAACTTGAACATTCGCCTTCAACCCCCCTGACAAAAAAAAAAGAAAAAAGTACCCTCCAAGGGGGAGCATCAGACGTAGCCAAAAAAAAAGAAGAAGGAAATATAAGAATCAGGAGGTGGGCGGTGGTGGGTGGTGGAAAACGATGGAAGGTAGTCGCTTGGCTTACCTGCCAGCCGGCAGTTGGCTAGTCAAAAAGCTGTCGTCGATGCTAAGCGCAGACCCAGAAAAGCCATCAAATATGCAGGAGGTGGAAATGTGCAGGGCCCCACAATTCCCCATCACAGCCCAAGCCCCAGAATCCGGAAAAATGGCGAAAAAATGATTTATGTGGACGCCATGCCAGGAAGGAGAACGGAAACGAAAAGCCAACAATAACCGGGAAAAATAACAGAATCAACTGATTTCTCAACTTGGCTCTGGGCCTGCTTTTGTTTGCCAGACTTTCGTTGGTGGAAGGGGGGGAAGGGGGGGAAGAGGGAGGGATTCTGATAGACCCACAATTTTACCTTCCGTTCGGGACTTCATTCTTGTTATTCCAGCAATGAAAAAAGCGGAAAGTATGCTTCACAGACAACGGACTCCAATGGTATTGGGGTCACCGGAGAGGCATAAGATATTGATGTCCCCGGAGAGAGTCGTTTTTTTAGGCCTGCACCTTTGAACATGGTATATTAATGATCATCGGAAGCTCTCAATTCGCAAGGAATGAAAACACGTTCCACTAAACTTATGGATATACAAGAAAGTTTATCTGTTGCTTAACGTTATAATTTGTTTCAAAAGGTTACAAATTATATTTTTAAATAAAGACATTTTTTGATTATATTAGTTTTGCAAGCTTAAAAATATTAGAAATTTTCAGTTAACTAATTATTATAAAAATAAAAAACATAATTCGTTTTAGAAACATCTCTTTTTCTCTCTTGTATTAATTACAAACAAAGAAACCTTGCCATTTTAATCAACGCAGATTTCGTTTCGTATTCTAAAATTTGTATTGCTTTTTTGTTGCCCTTTGTGGCAACCAAATTAGTCTGAACTTCAAAATTCTAAAAAAAAGGTAAGTACGTGAAAAATGTTAAATATTTTAAGATATTGCTTGTACGAATTTATTTGAATACAGATGTGTGAAATCAATTTGGTTGCCTATAATGTCTTTCGACGCGATCTGGCCAGAATTTTCAAGACCTTCAATTCATCCACACAAACCGATTTTACCGAGGAAATCGGTACAAGCACTGACCTTGATGTCAAAGCTGATTCGGAACCGAGTCTCTCAAAACTCTACGATCTGGAATTGGATTAGTTAGGTTGAGTTATGGAAGAGGATTCATCCTCTGAAAGGGAAAATGGTCAAGAAATCCCTGGACCAAGTCGAAAACGATGTTATCCGAGTGCTTGGATGTCTGGAACGGAATCGCAAGTGGTGAATAAAAAACTAAAAAGATCGCAATCGGAAACCAAGACGGAATCAAGTAGAACAATGCTTCTGGGATCGCTGCGCTCTAGATCTCCAGAAAGTAGACAAGTTGTGGAGGACACTTTACCTTATGAACTAATGGTGACCACATCGCAAACACCTCTGGAGGATATGCAACCAAACTCAATTAGCAGCTCCATCAGCAGTGTCCAACTTTTCTCATCTGATTCGGATACTTCTGGTTACACCACCGAGAGTAGCTATCAAACGGCCTCTGGATACGAGCGTCTTGCACAAACCAGCTCCTATGCTAGTATCCAAACTTATTACGGACCTGCGGATTTCCTCTGGGAGATTCACCTGGCAATCGATCCTTCAGCCACTGGAGAGGAGGTTCAGTCCGTTCACCAGGACATGCGGGATTTGCTGATCAACGAGATGGGTTTGATCGGAGACACAAACAATCAAGCCATCTATCTTATAGCATATAACTATATGTGATCGGCTTAACTGATTTTTAAATTCAATTTATTTTAAGACCCCTATGGGAAGGCGAAATAAAAACCATATAAACAACGATATAAACAAAAAACAAATTAAATTGCTTTTTAATTTAAGTTATATTATTATAATTATTTATTTAACCAAATTCTGTTACTCTTTGTAATAACTTTAAGCTTTAAGAATAATTCAAGAGGCGTTATAATAAGGGAATATAATTCATACTTGAGCTCAAAAAGTATTGACCTCGGGCAAAGCAAACAAACATTCGTAGACTCTTCAAAGAGAATTTCGCCCTTTTTAAAAGTCATCTATTTAATCACTTTTTCAGCTATAACTGAAATGGGTTCGCTAACCATTTCAATGGACAATCAGTTCTCGAATGAAGTGTTTGCTCATACTGCGTGATCTGCGCGCCTGTTGACATTATGACAAATTACATAAGCTGAAGGCAACAATTGCCGAAACCCATTCCGGAATCGAAGGGAAGGAAGGCGGGAAGGAAGGAAGGAAGGAAAAAACAAACCAAAAACGGATACGCTTAGGCTAAAATTTTGGGGGTGGGGTTTTATGGGGTGGTTTGGGCTGTAGGCCCGTTAATAGGAAAGCCACACAAGAACTGCTAACGAAGGACACGCGGCCAGCGGTTGAGCGACAAGTGCCGGCAAAGTTGCGGGAAAAGGCAGGACACTGAGGTCCTGGCTGCGGGGTGTATATAGGATGTTTGCTCAGCGCTAAGTGCACCGGTTCCGTGGGCAAGTGGAAATGATAAACATATTTACACAATTTTTGACAGGCGAACGGGTGAAACAAAACACCCGTGGGTGCAGTCTTCCAGTGCTATATTCCTCCAACCCCCCACCTCCCACCCACCACCCCCTTCATACATTCTGTAAGCATTTGAAACAAGCGAAAAGAAAAACCAAACCCAAACTCGATAAATATGTTTATGTGCAAATAACAAAATATTTGTCGATTGCCCAAAACGAGCGTTGGAAGGGGTGGGACTTTGGGTTCAGGGTAGGGCAGGATCTAGCGGGCTAAGGGGAGGGTTGGTGGAGGGGGTTCAAGGAAGCACCGCAAGCGCATAATTCAATTTTTCTGCTCGTTTTTGCACGTCGCCCGGCACACGTCATTCGGGTCCACTGGGACATCGAACTGCCATGCTACACCAGCTAAAGCTAAAACCCTGCCCAACTGCACTGGGGAAAAAATGTATAACAACAAGTACACTGAAAAAAAATAAAAAAATAAATGTAGCCATTCAAACCGTATCAAAGATCTCCTTCATCAAAAATTCAACCAAATGTAACCATCGTTGGAGTAAACTATTTAAATCCAAACGATTTTTCAAAAACACACCAAAAACTTTACAATGTTTGTCATATCGATTGATTTTTCAAATGGACATTAAGTCATTCATTCTAAAATCGTCGGAGATTTAAGGCAGCCATTGTAAATGTTTTATCGACAATAAAAAATTAAACGCTCATTAAATGATTTTAATAACTCGTAAACTCCAATACTTTATTATTTTTGAAGCATTTCTTGGTCTTCGGTATAGAAATTTCACTGTGCTTGACTCCTTATTAAATACAATATTTATACAATATTATTATAATTTATTATATGAAGAATTCAAAGTCAATAACAGAAAATATGTTTAAGTTATGTTAACGCTTCAAATTGCTTTAATAAAAAAAGCCACAGCTTCTGAATTTCCATTGACACTTGAAAACAATTTTAAAATACTGAAATTTGCCTAGTGAATTTAAATTTACCACTTTTGTTAGAGTTAAGTTTTTCACATTCAATTATGGCCATGGGATTTTCCTTGATTTCCCTGATTTTCCCTGAGTGCACGCACTTTGTCGGGGATGCAGTGGATATTAGTGACACGTGGCGAAGGCTCGACCAAGGCGATCTGATGGTCCCAGCACATGCGGTTTCCGGGCACAGCCCCATCCAACCCCCTTTATTTATTTGTTTGTAATTACGCGTGTTCTAAAACAAAATCCCGCCGCACTTGAAGCAGAATGCGGCAAAATGGAAAAATCGCCTGAGCCTGCTCTTTTCAATGCCCAATGCCCTTGATGAGGAGACACGTGCATTGGACCGCCCCTCCTGGATTTCGGGTATTTGTATTCCCAGTGCATTAGCAACAATGCCGGAGACATTTGGAGTTTGTCAACAGTTTCGCCTTCGGATTTGGTTACGGCTTTTGTCCTTGTCAACGGCGCGTGTCTCTGTCCGATGTCATCTTCTCTACTCCACTCCACTCGACTCCACTCGACTCGACTCGACTCGACTCCAATCCGCAGTCAGTTGTCATCCTTCTGGACTGGCTTTTGGCCCGGGGATTGGCGATTGATTTGGCGTGGGATTTTCGACTGGGATAAACGCATGTGTGTGTGTGTGTGTATTTGGGGGGAGGGGGTAAATGAACATGAAACGAAATCATAAATGTGACATGCCAGGATCTCTAACTCGAGCGGTTTAAGCAACTGCGACAAAGAAATCTCTTTGACCAGCAGCAAAACCGGGCAGTAATAAATCATCTGCTTGGCAAGTTGTTCAGCATATTTCGTCCAAAGAAAACTTTCTGCAAGAGTTTTGCCAGTTATATATTGCCGTCCCCTCGGACCATATATTTCAACCGATGGCATAAAAAGTAAGGAGGCAAAGTAGGAGCAGCAGCAGCAATAGCAGCAGCAGCAGCAGCCACAACATTGAGCCCTCCTAAAAGGGCATTCGAAATGAGCTCCTCGGAGATGTGAAGATGGCGGTCGGCCACCGGGAAAGCTTTCGTATTTAATTGAAAAACACTTAAGCTGCCGGTCCGTGGGTTGGAAGACGAAAATGGAAATGGAAATGGAAATGGAAATGCCAAAACCAAAGCCAGGCCAACCGCAAGGCCCTCATATGACCCCAAAAGACCGTCCCTATAACCCGAACTCATCTTCATCGCCAGACCTTTCTGGCTGTTCATAAAAACAATGGGCGAGCGGCACACAAAAACTTTGCATAATTAAAACGTGGCCAACACATAGAAAAATTATCACCAAGTGGGAATTATGACATATGGAATATGAAATATATATCTTAACTAGTTTATATTTGAATTATTTAAAAAAACCTTAGTTGGCAAATAAATATTTATTTAAAGACCTTTATTTCCCTGTGTAAAGATTGCGAAACACCATGTGAGTGTGCACAACACAAGTATACAGGTATACAAATGTTTTAAAAATAAGTTTGATACATTATACACAGAATAAACAAAGCTCTTAAAACCCACGTTTTGGGTGGAAGTACAGAAGTAAAACAAAACCATTTATCAAAAATTGTTCAACTATGTTTTTGATCATTTTTTTTCTCTACGTGGGTAATATTGATTTGTTTGTTGTTAAAATGGTTTTTTGAGTGCCTTAATATAAATATATATCTGTTTCACTTTATTAAAGTTTTTTTTTTGTCCCAATGAGAAAGACTCAACTTATCAAAAACATTTTACAAATTTATGACCTATGCAATGAATTTTATCAAAAACATTTTACAAATTTATGACCTATGCAATGAATTTTTAAGATTTTCAAAGGATTTTAAGATTGTAATACTATTCTAAACTTTATAAAATTCCCCACTCATGTTTTACCTTTATAACAAATTATTTAAAACAAACATTTTTATCTCTGTGCAAGAAGGAATCTAAAGCAGAGCTCAGATGGACATGGCTGAATCAAAGATGGCATGACTTGGCCACTTACCCTCGAGCGCACGGTTCCTGGAAATTAAGGCGAGCACCAGTTCGGGATTTGGGTCATCCTGGTCGACAGCCAGGTGATTGTGGTGCGGATGCTGCTGTTGCTGTTGTTGCTGCTGCTGCTGCCCACCGACCAGGTGCGATGCCTGCGGCGTGGGTGGCAATTGTTGCTGCTGCTGCTGCTGCTGTTGCTGATGGATATGCGGCTGATGTTGCTGGTGATTATCCATGACTGTCAGGTGCTGTTGCTGCTGTTGTTGCTGCTGATGCTGCTGCAGCTGCGGATGCTGCAAATGCGGATGCTGTTGGTGTTGATGTGGCTGCTGCTGATGCTGGTGATGATGGTGTAGCGGTGGCGGTGGTTTCAGGGTTTGCATCATTGCTAAGAGGCCGGTGATTTGTACACGCGTCGTATGAGTTATATTTCAGTTAACTTATGTATTTCAATTAGCACACGGTTGTTTGGGCTCTATATATATATAAAAAAAGGAAACGAAAACGTTTCTTTGGTTAGTTTTCCGCACTCGCGTCCCGTTCAACGGCGAAACAAAACCACTCCGCTAGGCGGGATCGCTGTCTGTTCGATAACTGGCATTGGCTCGGTTTTAGCTCCGTTGACTGTTTCGGTTTTCACCTTATCGCGGCGGTCTCTTTGGGCTTTTCGTTTCTTAGATTCTAGACTACCAGCCGTTCGTTTGGAATCGTGCCCAACGTCGTTCGGCTGCCTCTATCAGTTAAAGTAGCAGCCAGGGACTTGAGCAATTTGAATTTGTTTGCGACACGGGGGGACACTTTCGGCCAGGCGAAAGTCAGCTGCGCTTTATGTAAGTCGGGAAGGGACAAACTGATCAATAGCTATATATTTGATCAGCGCATATCTACTCATCGTCTGGCTCGAGGTGAATTCTCGAGCGGATGGTCACTATTATCTAATGAAAAAGAGTCAAGGTCCGAGTATTTTCTATGAAAATACTTTGTATAAGTTGTGAAGTAGCCCTGTAATTGTCTTTAGGGCATTATTTTGGGTGATTTTTATTGGTGATTTATATTTACTCCTATGAAAACTAAAACATTATTTATTAAAACTTTTAAGTAGTTATTACATACTATTACATCGAAAAATTATAATGTTCTCATAACAAAGGTTAAACACCCTTAACCAATTTTATTAGACAATATAAATGTAATTTTATTGAGGACAATAAAAAACCGTTGAACCTTTACGGCCTTTACTTTCAAAATAAATATTCTACTATCTATTGCCATTTAAACAACTATAACTAATTCAAACATCAGGTTTAAAAATGCACAGTTAAGTTTCAGAATCAGTTTTTTTCAAAATAAAATCCTTGACTGATTTTTTTCAAATGGCTTGTTTATTTTTCACTTGCCAATAGTACATCAGACTTTTATCGTTTTATTTGGGATTGCACACATTGCGACGGAAAATTGAAAACCAACTAGAAAATTCTGCGTTACCCTTTTTGATTATTTATTTTGTCACTTTCACATTTAATTGCAGTATTTATTAATTTAATTTCTATAATTTATGGTTTTATTTTATTTTTATTTGATTATTTTGCTTTATTTTGATTCAATTTGCGACACGATTTTATGCGAACGCCATTTTGGCGACGGCAATGACAACGGTAACGGTATCGTTAACGGAAACGACGACGGCAAATGCGAACCGAGTGCGGCAAAATGGCGACGGTAAATGGCTAACGGTACATTACCAGCGACAACCCTGGACATGGCAACACTGGCCAGGAATCCTCTATTTGCCGCGCTGCATCTTTATTTACTTTCTTTGTCGTTTCGACTTCTTTCGTTTCGTTTTTTTTCTTTTTTTTTTTTTGTATTTTGCGCACTTTTTCACGCTTTTATTTAGACTGTGAGCTTTTAACGATACTTTTTATGCCGCTTGCCTTTTGGCCGCCCATATGGGTATGCTATGCGTATGCGTGATATATGTGTACGAGTGTGTGTGCGGGTGTGTGTGTTTGTGTGTTTACCAATTGATCTTAATGTGACACAAATGATATGGTAAAATGCATACAGCCAGCCCTGAATGGCAGGACAACAATGGCAACAAGGCGACAACGCCAAAAGCGACAGCGTCGACATTTTTATGCTTGTTTTTTGGCCATGCGCATGTGTATATCTCTCTCCTGATCTCATTCCACAAAAATTCCAAGAGCATTACAATATTTGTAAAGCGTAAAAACTTTAGCCCCAAAAATACAAAAACAATAAGTGAACTGGATAACTTTTGTTTCCCTCTGCCTCAAGAATTTCTAACTGCAAGAGTGCAGGAGGCGAAAAAAAAAAAACCGAGAAAAAAGAAAAGTGGGTAGAACAAAAAGCCAACCAACGTCGAGCGACACCTTCGTTGGCCCCAAAACAACAGTAAACGGCACTTAAAAGTCAGCAGCGACGTCGGCAGAGGCGAAACAAATATGAGAAACTTAACTCAAAAGTCCAAGTCAATACGCGCGCGGTCACCAAAAAGCAGGCTTCCAGGGTAAAAACTGGCACCGCCCCTTTATATTGAAAACATTGGAAATCGTTGATAGGCAAAAGCAACAAAAACAACAACAAAAGAGGTGGAAATCCAGGCATGCGCATACCAGTGGCATTATCTTATCGCCCCAGCGTCGCCATTAAAGTGGGTGGGTGGGCAATACTATTCCTAGGGTTCGACTTCTTTCCAGCGCCGGCGCATTACAAAATTCCCGTTGGAAGAAGGGGGGTTATTGTGGGCAACAATCTACCCGAATCACCCTGTATCCAAGCGATTGCTGTATCTGCATAGCGAAGGTGTTGTCTGTCTATTAGAACTGTTCAGAACTCACCCCTTGCCACCCAAATGTTTTAGTATATCCACCGTCCCATCCCAAAATCCCCTCAAATGCGTTGCGTCTGCAAAAACGATTTTGTTTTCGCATTTATTTATGAGCCGCTTAGAGCGCGCCAAATACTTTGCCAAACACTTTGAACCCCAAAAACCCCAACGTCATCCCCGAAAACAGAAGCGAACCCGGTGCTCCACAGTAGTTCCCCACCCACAAAAGTGGACACTAGAAGAAGGTCGTTTATGGGTTGGGCTCAATGCGATGGGGGAACCAAGTACCGAGAACAGCTGGAATGCATGGGTCGCTCGACGAGTACGTTCCACGTTGTAATACTCTAAATAAACTGTCTCACTTACTGTTATTCAAAACTAAATATTTACATTTTCGAAAACGGAAACACTATATTTTTTATAGTAAATAACTGACCCAACATATTAAAAATAAACATTCTTGGTTACTATTATTGTTTAGTATGCCTAATATTTGTTTAACTAATATGAGCACAAAAAGTAAATATTTGTATGAGAAAATTAAGATTAAATAATTAAATAAACCATTCTTGCTTGTTATTATTATCAATGTCTAATATGTGTTTTACTCTTATACGAATAAAAAAGTAAACTAAACCAATAAGATCGGTTTTTGATGTTTTTATTAAATACCTAAAAAGAAAATTTAAAAAAATGTTTCTACGTTGTTTATCAATACTTTATTCTTTTTATTTGCCAGTAAATACTTTATTTTCTTAAGAACCACCAATATTTTGTATTATGTATTTTGTTTGGTTTGTTTTCACGTTGTTCAGAAAACCCAAATTTGTACTGTCCAGTAGTGTTTTCAGCTTGCAACCGGGCTTGTTTGGTTCCCATTAACAATGTGCAAGAGCCAGCAACACAAAAACATAGTATACCCTTGAACCCAATGAATACCGGGTATAATGATATATAGGCTAAGAGCATAAAAATGCAGCGTGACCCTGAAACTGATCGTGAATGGAAATGGCTGATGAAATGCACTCAACGAAGACCGTACCAAACCAAACCGAACCGAACCAATCCATTCCCAATCGATGGTGTACCATTCGGGGCTTCACTTCCGCGGTTACAAAATCGACTTTGACTTTCAAATTTTCCAAACGCTTTATTGTGGCTATCTAATGGTGTCGTTAATGGTTAAACACATGAAGTATTTTGCCAAATGGGCTCGACTTGGGACAGTTAATTGCTGATGATGCGATGATATGGAACCGGATTGACAGTGATTCAGAGAGAAATATGGGGGTTTTAGTACGCAATGTCTATTGTTTGGATAACACTTTTTAATAGACAATTAACAAGCAGTTTATTTAAATTTTCTTCTTCGACATTTTTCACTTTTGTACGGCGATCTTGTTTTATTTTAATGTCTTGTGATAGTTACATAAACATAAATCTTGGCAATGGGTCGACACAAAAAAAAAACTTGCTGCCAGTGCGCATTTTCACACATAGTCGGATTTGTTGTTGTTTTTTTGTTGTTTTCCCTCTGAACTTTTTATTGGTTGGGGCCTACGCGACAACGACTCGAGATTCGGGGCTCATTGAGGCTTGGTTAAAGCGCAGCCAGCTCATTAGTAGATTCGAATGTCAGCGGTGCACAAGTGCGGAACTAACCGAGCGGCTTAACTCACGAGATTCCACCAAAGTTTTGGATTAATCAGGATCAACCCTTGTCATGGATTTCGATGAGTTTCGTGAATTCGGCCATGCCTCCATTGAGTTTCTTATTAACTATCTAAGTGGGATACGTGAAAGGTGTGTGTCGAGCAATGGTTAATCCTTGAAGACATGCTTTTTGAACCTCTTTTGATCTCTCCCCGCAGAGATGTCCTGCCCACCACCACTCCGTATGCGGTGATCAATCAACTGCCCAAGGAAATCCCCGAGCAACCGGACCACTGGCGGGAGGTCCTCAAGGATCTGGAGAACATTATCCTGCCGGGTCTGACCCACTGGCAATCGCCGTACTTTAATGCCTTCTTTCCGTCCTCCTCGTCGGCGGGCTCCATCATCGGTGAGCTCCTGATCGCGGGCATCGGAGTCCTGGGTTTCAGTTGGGTAAGTTCACTATATGGGAAATGATATGAAAAATATTGCTTACCATAAAAATAATAGTGCGTCTGATTCGATATGCTTAAAAAAGTTTAATTTTCGCGACATGTTTTCCTTTTTTAAATTTGTAAAACGTGTTTAAGATCATTACCTGATAACTTGGATTTTCTAAAGCTAAAAAGTGATTTAATGTCAATCAAAAGATTAATTAAGAGAGCTAGACTAAGAGAATGATTGGGAACTGTTTGTCTTTCAAATCCGAATTTTTTAAAACCATTGGTCAGAATCATACATTATCAACGATTCAATAAAACGGCATTTAGTTTTAATTAATTTAAACATGTTAGTTTACTTATTTCTAATTTTTTATTTAGAAATTTATAAATACACCTATTAATAATGACTCACTATTTTAAGATTACTGAGAAAACATCTTAATAACGGTATAAGTAGTTTAGACATTAATTCTAAGAGAGAGGAAAATTCAGAAGCACAGTCTTCTAATTATAGAAATTTATAAAAACTGTTCATTATAGTGCCTGTCTTACCAATTGACTCTAATCTCTAAAGCTTAATTATAATGTATATATTTGATTGACTGATATAGACTCACGATGCTTAAATTTGTTCAAACGTTTTTGTTAAGAGAGAGAGTCTAAGAGAGCAGTGACTTAGCGAAAAACGCTGAGCTGAACAATACACAAAAAAGTGGGAACAGTTTTGGAAGACATAAGCAATTTCCCATCAGTAGTTTGGTAAGTAACAGCATCGGTCTTTATCGATTAACTCAACCGCTTAACGATTAGGGAAATTTTCAAGTAATTGTTATTCTTCGATAAACACTATAATTTATATATACGCTCGCCCGTACCGATCCCTAATCTTAGAGATTCGATACGCTTCGTGTTCTACTATGCGAGGCTCTCAGAAATGACCCTTTGAGAAAACTTTGGCTGCATTAAAATTTAAGGGCATTATATTTCCTCAATGTCTAGGTAAAGGTTTAAGTTTTGTTGCACAATTTTATTAAAATGATTTATATATGTTCAAGTTTTAGGGTAAATTGTAATTTGTTTGATATTTATTTTCAAGAAATTGATTTTTTTTAAACATTTTTACACCGTTACGAAAATTTAAATACTAAACGAGTTGTGAAAGATTTTGTTTTGTGATATTAATAAATTTTTTTATTCTAAGCAAAAAAGTTCTACTTAAACTTATGTTTCAATGTCATCCAATTAATTATTTGAAATGTTTTAATAATTTTATGCAGTCTAAAATCGAAAAATGTTAAATAAAAACTATTTTTTTACGTTAAAAAACTTAAATAGCCAAATTTGGGAAAAAAGGCCAAACTGACAGCACTGGAGGCTGTCCAGAGCATTGGGTATATAAAAGCCGGTCGTCACCGGCGATCGGTTTCAGAGTGAACCTCAGGCGACTTGGTGTAGCATCAACGGATTGATTGGGAATCGTGTTGGGTAAACAAATCGAAAACGGAAAAATAAAACCAAAACAAACAGAACGTGAAAAGTGCAAATAGAAAACGATATCGAAACATTGTCAGCGAAATGGATGCCAAGGAGTTTCGGGAATTTGGCAAGGCGGCCGTTGACTTTATAGCCGACTATCTGGAGAACATTCGGGACGATGAGGTGCTGCCCAATGTGGAGCCCGGCTATCTGCTGGACCTGCTGCCCACAGAGATGCCGGAAGAACCTGAGTCGTGGAGAGAAGTCCTCGGGGACATCAATCGAGTGATCAAGCCGGGCATCACCCATTGGCAGTCGCCCAATATGCACGCCTACTACCCCACCAGCACCTCATATCCCTCCATTGTGGGTGAGATGCTGGCCAGTGGATTCGGCATCATCGGATTCAGCTGGGTAGGTCGCATCACGCTGGTGAAATGGGTGGTGAAATCTCGCTTTTGACCATTGTTTTGGCCGGCTGAATGGGCGCCCATTGTGCTCGGTGGGTGAAAGTAAAAACAAGAACTCGACAAACAGGTTGCGAATGCATCAGATCGAAGAGAGTTTTTCCCACAACACAATCGGCAATTGTCACGATATAAATTTATTGTGTTGATTGAACCTTTACCTGGGCAGGTCAAATAATTAAATTTGAATATACAAAGAATTGATTAGGCAAAACGAAAGAATAATTTTATCATTAGAGTGATAGCTTTAAAGTTGGTTAAAAAGAATACAATAGTATGAAAAGGGAAACTGATTGAACAAAGACTTATATCTGGACCTCATATGTTACCATGAGTAGGAATAATAACTTTATAACTTTATTTTTTTAGACCAGTTCGATTGTGGCTGTTTTTAAAATTAAAAGTAAAAATTGTATCTTTCATAAATTTTTTTTAAGAAATATTTTATTAACATCGAATGTAAATGAAATACTTTTAAAGTTTTAGCTTTAAAATATTTCGTTAACTCTATTCTGTTGTTAACTTTTAAAGCAAAATAAAGTCATTTGAAATAATTAAAATTACAAAATGAATGCCGAACTAATAGTAACTAACAATATACATATTTATGATTAATATTTATTTATTTTTTATCGTATCATAGTGCTAAGAGTTAACAGATAACTAAATATTAAGATAATATTAATATTTTTTAGGTAATACCATAATTTATAACTATACAATAACTTAATATTCCTCCTCTTTCGCAGATCTGCAGTCCGGCGTGCACAGAACTGGAAGTGGTGGTCATGGACTGGCTGGCCAAGTTCCTGAAGCTGCCCCAACACTTCCAGCACGCCAGCGATGGGCCCGGTGGCGGAGTGATCCAGGGATCGGCCAGTGAGGCGGTCCTGGTGGCTGTCCTGGCGGCCAGGGAACAGGCGGTGGTCAGCTACAGGGAATCGCATCCGGAGGTCAGCGAAAGCGAGGTGCGGGGTCGCCTGGTGGCCTACTCCTCGGATCAGAGCAATAGTTGCATCGAGAAGGCTGGCGTTCTGGCGGCCATGCCCATTAGATTGCTGCCGGCTGGAGAGGATTTCGTGCTGCGTGGGGAAACTTTGAGGCACGCCATCCAAGAGGATGTGGCGGCGGGCCGGATTCCGGTCATTTGCATCGCTACTCTGGGCACCACTGGCACTTGTGCCTACGACGACATTGAAACCTTGTCCGCCGTCTGCGAGGAGTTCAAGGTGTGGCTCCATGTGGACGCCGCCTATGCCGGTGGTGCCTTCGCCCTGGACGAATGCTCGGATCTGCGCAAGGGATTGGATCGCGTGGATTCGCTGAACTTCAACCTGCACAAGTTCATGCTGGTCAACTTCGATTGCTCGGCCATGTGGCTGCGGGATGCCAACAAAGTGGTCGATAGCTTCAATGTGGATCGCATTTATCTGAAGCACAAGCACGAGGGTCAGTCGCAAATTCCCGATTTCCGGCACTGGCAAATCCCGCTGGGTCGTCGCTTCCGGGCCCTTAAAGTTTGGATCACATTCCGGACTCTGGGAGCCGAGGGCTTGAGGAATCATGTGCGCCAACACATCGAGTTGGCCAAACAGTTCGAGCAACTGGTGGTCAAGGATTCCCGCTTTGAAATGGTGGCTCCTCGGGCTCTCGGTTTGGTTTGCTTCCGGCCAAAAGGTGGCAATGAGATTACGACCCAACTCCTGCAGCGTCTCATGGATCGCAAGAAAATCTATATGGTAAAGGCCGAGCATGCGGGACGTCAGTTTCTCAGATTCGTTGTTTGCGGAATGGGTACCAAAGAGTCCGATATCGACTTCGCCTGGACGGAGATCGAATCGCAGCTAACGGGCCTGCAGGAGGAGCAGTCTCTGCTGGCACGGAAGTCGGGAAACGTGGCCGATCTTACGCAACACTTCCAGATCCATCTGACCACCGAAAATGCAACGCACGAGAAGTCTCAGTGAGCAGAACGCAACAGACCCATTCGTTTGCCGTTTAACTATTTATGTTTAGGTTGTCCTTAGTTCGAATTGTTTTACTTAGCTTTGTTTAAAACTACATGTTTAAAAATAAAATGAGAAAAAAATTATATAAGACATTTTGGAAAATATCTATTTTAAAAACCTGTCGACTTTTAGCTTGTAAATTGTAGAATCTAAAAGTACTTATAGGAAATACAATGACGTTATATCTTAATTTTCGTTTCCTCACAAATATTTGTAGAATACGTTAAATACGTTAAAATTAAATTCAATAAATTCTATTATTCTTCTTAATCCTATGTTCAAAAATAATTTTCATTATTTACGTTCATCAACCTTTAATTTCAGCCCTTTGAAAAGAGCTCAAGAGCAAAGTTAAATAAATAGTAAGATAACTGGTAAAACTAAGTTGAAATTGCAAATCAAATTTTTGGCGCATTAGTGTGGCTGCATTTCACCAAAAATCAAAAGCTTAAATATCGGTACCACTGATATGTGCCAATCGATAGGCCAGCCAAGGTCAAAAATCGATAGCTCAGTGTGTCACCTCTAGTGCTCACAACAACCTTTCAAAAATCCAGACAAAATTAAATTTACCCGTTTGGGAACCGAAGGAAACCAGTGCCGCTTGCCATGCAATGGTAGGTTTTAATCCAGGGGATTGCAGCACCCACTAACAACCGCTACCCGTAGTTATAAACTGGCCAGCAGGCGCAGCTTATACAATGCACGGGTGTTCCAGGCGGATCACACCGGTGACCAGCAGCATCACAGTCCGGATTTGGAGGCAGCCCGCCAAAATGCCCGGATAGTGGTCATTGGAGCAGGTCTCGCCGGACTCTCGGCCGCCCAGCACTTGTTGTCCCATGGCTTCCGGCGCACCGTCATCCTGGAGGCCACCGATCGCTATGGCGGCCGGATAAACACCCAACGCTTTGGCGACACCTACTGCGAACTGGGCGCCAAGTGGGTGAAGATCGATGGGTCACAGGACTCGATGTACGAGCTTCTGCGCAACACCGAGGGTCTGGGCAAGCAGATCAGGCAGCCGGAGCGGCCCACCTATGTCCAGGTGGAACAGGAAGGTGGCCACATCAAACCGGCCATGGTGGAGCTTATTGACACCCTGTTCCGGCAGCTCTGCCGCGGCTTCAAGCTCTCCGATCGGTTTAAAACGGGTAGCGACTTCCACTCGCTGGACAATGTGATGAACTACTTCAGGACCGAAAGTGATCGCATCATTGGCGCCTCCTTTCCGCAGCCGGAGGACCAGGTGGCAGCTCGTGAGATCTTCCAGTCGCTGTTCAAGGAGTTCGGCAGCATCCTTGGCTGCTGTCTGGAGTACGTGAACATCGAGCACATTACCAAGTGTCCGGTGCAGCAGGAACAGCGTCCACTGTATGTGCCCACGGGACTGGATAATGTGGTGGACGATCTCATTCAGCAGCTGGACAAGGAGCAGGTGCAGATCGGCAAGCCGGTGGGCCAGATACAGTGGACACCAGCGCCGCTGAAGAGTGTGGGCTGTCTGGATGGCAGCCTGTACAGTGCGGACCACATCATTTGCACCCTGCCCTTGGGCGTACTCAAAAGCTTTGCGGGCATCCTCTTCCGGCCCACGCTGCCGCTGGACAAGATGATGGCCATACGCAACCTGGGCTTTGGCAATCCCCTCAAGATTTACCTTTCGTACAAGAAGCCCATCAAGCGTTGGCTAAAGTCGAACCTGCGTCCACTGGGAACGTTCGTTAATCCCATTCTGGATCAGCAAGCGGAACGAAACTGGACGCAACAGGTGGTGGAGATCAGCCAAGTGCCCAGCAGCCAACATGTGCTGGAAGTGCACGTCGGTGGTGGCTACTACGAGGAGATTGAGAAGCTCCCGGATGACAAGCTGCTGGAACAAATCACCGGATTGCTAAGGCGCTGTATAAGCAATCACTTGGTGCCATATCCGCAGGAGTTGCTGCGCTCCAACTGGAGCACCTCCGCCTGCTACCTGGGCGGTCGTCCGTACTTCTCCACCAGCAGCAGTGCCCGCGATGTGCAACGCTTGGCCGCTCCGCTGGGTGAGAGGTCGCCAAGTCTGCTCTTCGCCGGAGATGCTACGTCCCTCAAGGGCTTTGGCACCATCGATGCCGCCCGGTCCAGTGGCATCCGCGAAGCCCAGCGCATCATTGACTTCTATCTCAATTGCAAGCATTGCCTTTAACTGCAATCGTTAATCAAAATTGGCTGTACAAATTATCCAACGTAGAAATGCACTAGTCAAAATTTATAGTTACATTTTGTTGTATTTTTAAGCAGAATACATATGTTTTTAATTAGGCGTAGAACGTTAACAATAAAAGCATTAACAACATCAACAATACGATACTTAAACGCTAAACTAACAAATTGTTGCGCTGTAAATTCCCTAAACATGTCGCAAATGGAATATGGGTTAAGCATCTGTTCCGATTTAACATATAACATTAAGATATTTAGTTTTTTAAGTCCAATATTTGAGGATATCTTGGTCCATTTGTAAACATCTAATAATAATGAAATTCCTCTATTTGATTTTACATGTTAAACGCGGCGGAACAGACCTTCCATCTCGGATTTACTGCTCCTGTTCCATCTCATCGGCAGCTGCACTGACCTCCTTCCAGGAGTAAACCATGTCCTCGGGCTGGGTGAAACGCGAGCAGACGGCCATGCGAAGGAAGTACACATCGTTGATCTTGGACGGGACCATGTGGATGTTGCCGCGTCCATTGATGCGCTTCAGGAGAGCTTCGCTCCGCTCGTTGCTGCCCTTCAAACGGAAGCAGACCAGTGCCATGTTAACCTCGGCGGCCAGTTCAAATCTGGAGTCCGCCACGCAAAGATCGGCGAATTGCTGGGCATAGTTGCAGTGCCTGCGGATGTGGGCCTGCAGATTCTCCACGCCGTAGAGTCGGAGGACGAACCAGAGTTTCAGGGCGCGGAAACGACGACCCAACGGGATTTGCCAGTGGCGATAGTCGGGCAGCGAAACCTCTCCCTTCGAGTCGTGCTTCAGATAGAGGGGATCCACACCGAAGGCATTCACCACCCAACTGGGATCCTTCAGCCACATGGCCGAGCAGTCGAAGTTCACCAGCATCCATTTGTGTGGATTGAAGTTGAACGAATCGGCGGTCTCAATGCCCTTCATCAGGTGACGATATTCGGGACAGATGAAAGCTGATCCGGCATAGGCCGCATCCACATGGATCCACACATTGTGCCTGTTGCCGACGGGTCCGCACTCGTCCAGGCGATCGAAGGCACAGGAGTTGGTGGTGCCCAATGTGACGACGGCATAGAAGGGTATCAAACCCTCAGCCAAATCCTGTTCGATGGCCTTCTCCAAGGCATCGCCATGCATCCTGGTATTCACCGATTTCACCGACCGAAGCTTCACACCGCCCAGCAGACCAGCCCGCTCCACGGAGGAGTGAGCCTGATCGGAGCAATAGCCAACCAGCTTGCCCAGGATGGTGTGCTCATCCCACTCCGGATGCAGGGCCTTCACTTCCTTCACCTTCTTGGCCTTGGCCCCCAGCAGTGCAATCAGCGTGGACTCACTGGCCGTGCCCTGGATGACGCCGCCTCCCTTGCCACCCGAACAGCTGAGGAATTCCGCCGGCAGGTCCAGCATCTTGCCCAGCCAGTCCATCATGACCACCTCGAGTTCGGTGCAGGCGGGACTGGCGATCCAGGAGAAGCCTATGCAGGCAATCGCACCGCTCAGCATGTCGGCCACAATCGCCGGATACGAGTTGGCCGTGGGGAAGTAGGCATGGAACTTGGGACTGTGCCAGTGCGTCACTCCCGGCATGATGACCCGCTCGATGTCCTGCATCACATCCTGCCAGTTCTCCGGCTTCTCGGGTGCCTCGTCCGGAATCAGTGGCTTCAGATACCCGGGCTTCACTTCCGGCAGTACGCGTCTGCAAATAGGGATAATTGCGTTAGCCTCTTGATTGCACTCGGTCCATTCAGGAAAAGCTTCTTGCTAATTGACTGTGAAACTCAGTTACCACACAAAGCACTAGGGAATGGGGAAAACGGAATAGGGAGGAGCATCCCCAACTTGTTGCCACTGGCAATAAAAAATCAATAAAAATATGTAGCAAAGTGATACTAAATAGAATGAGGAGTGACAAAGCTGATAAAGACTGGATTTTATTTCCATTTTCTCTAATCCCAAAGGGGAAGAAATCTTAGGGGCTTAAAAGAAAATTAATAAAGATAAAATAATTGACTTTACCCCCATAAAATAAAAAAATAAATAAATAAATAAGAAATCTTAAGGGTTTTAAAGAAAATAAATATAGATAAAATAATTGATTTTAACCTTATTAAATTAAATTAAATTAAAGAAAGAATATTTTAAAATTGAATGGCTTAAAACTTTAAAATAAATTAACAAACTCATAAATTAGGATAAAATAAAGTGCAAGCATTACATTTAAATTTAAACAAAAATGTTATGCCCAGATATTTATTGTAATGGTAGCCAAGAAATAAAATTTTCTTGTCACGATTGCACTTTATATAAAAATATATATGAAATTTTTTTATTAGGAATAAAAGTTGATTTCATATGTACCTGCTTTATATATAAACAAAATGTAAATGGTTACAAATACTCAACAGTTGCACTTGTTAATAAAATACAATACTTATTACTTTACCGATTCAATTTTAACATTCAAGGTAATGGAAACTAAACCGTTAGAATTTCGCAAGAATAATAAACCGACATTCGTTTTTGCCCAAGGCGTTTGCTAAACAATTATATCTACATAAAAATCGACCTTGACACGCCAACTTTACAAAAACCTTTTTAATGCAGCAATAATTAATTAGTTTTAGGCTCAAGAGCAATTGTGAAAGTACTTGGAAGGTCGCTTAAACTGCCTTTAAATAAATAAAACTGAACGCAGTTCCTAAACTCCGAGACTTTCCCATGACTAATGCTAAAAACGTGTGCGAAATGTCATTCACTTGCCCGGAATCGAAGAGAACGAACTTTCGAATTGAACGCAAAAGTTGAGGTCAAGCAACAGATTCTATATAAATAACATATCTATATGTATCGAATGCGACAAATTAAATTAAATACAAGCTAATTGAGAGAACACTGATTCATTCGCGCTTACCTTTCACGTATGTTCTCCAAATATTCGGCAATAAAATCCACCATTGTCTTGGCAAAATCCTTGAACTCTGGGGCCTCCATGTCGATCTTAATGGGTCGGTTTAAATAAATAGATTAGTATTGGATATCGATGTTTTTGTAATCCCTATAGACATACCGAAACCTTGGGATCCAGTTTATCTTCCAAATTGTTAGTTTTACCATTGCCATTAGCTTGTTTTAATAGGTTAGTGCTATTATCGGGTAAATGGCTCATTTTTGGTTTGAAGTTGTTGCAATGGACTAAAATTTGTAGTTTAATGACTGATAGGAAAAACATGTGCGATTGTTAAAAGTAAGTGTATGAGTTAATTTATTTATAAAGTGTTTATAGATAAAGGTAATCAGTGGCAGCTTTAGTTTCAAACATCAAGTGCTTACACTGAGACATATATGTATTCAAACATTAATAAGCAATAGAATAATGATTTTAGGTATTAATTACATACTAGTACATTTATGTTAATTTTAAAATTTTAGTTTTGGACATGCTTGTATGCTTGGTTTAAGTATAGATTTTATTTTTTCCACTAAAAATTAATATGGTAATTAGAATGCATTAAGCATTCTTGCTTTAATTAATGCTGGATTATTTTTTCTCAATTCACTTTTTAACAACGTAAACAAGTTGGCATTGAGATGGCGACTTGTTGCTGGCAAATAAGCACACAAAAACCTTTTTTTTTTTTGTTTTTAATAGATACACAAACATGCAGATACCAAAAACCGACAAAACTAAAGAATGCTGAGGCGAACTTAGAAATTAAACCAAATGCAAGGCTAGATGCCCACTTATAGATATGCCCAATCCGCATTACGTATACGCCGCGTTAGCACCGAAATGAATCTTTTTCATGCACTCATTATGTTGGCCAAGCACTTTAGGTATTTACAAATGAACCCATATTAGACACGCGTCACTCACCGTGCACTTTAGCTAACTGCCTTTAATTATTTGCACTTGTCGAGCTTTGTTTCCGTTTCGAACTAAATCTTTGCCCAACTTGAGTTTGCCTCTTTGCAGTTTAGCTGCGAGTATATTGTCGAGTTTTTTTTTTTTTGGGGGGGCTGCTGTGCGCTCGGCGTTCGCCTCTTAACTGAGCGCTACTCGCTCTTGGCCAAGGCTTTTAAAGCCCGGCCAACGGCGCTGTCGATTCCGCAGGACCGGTTCAAGTCGCTGCTCTGCTGCCGCTGAACTTCACATGAAAAAATAAAATTATAACAATACATTCTTTCGGCACTGGCTTGATTTGTGCACGTTCTCTGCGGTGATTTTTGTACTTTTCCAAAAGTTATGTATGTATATTAATTTGTCCGTGACTCAGTGATAGGGGGTAAACTCGGTATCGCATGGGCTGCTATATATAAGATGCAAACAATTTTTTTTAATATATTTAAAAAATATCTATAGCTAAGTAACACTGTAACACTGTAACATGTCACTTTTTCGTAAATTAATAAATATCTTTTGAACAAATGATAATCAAAATTTTTATTTATACATTTTTATATCAATTTTTTAGAAGAGAAAAAACTATTGATTATGCATTACTAAAAAAACAGAGCATAGATCGATGAAGACATTTAACTAACATAAATAATTAAACCTTTGTTTTTAACCCCAGAACACAAGCTTTAATATTATTATAATTATTTGTTCTCATAAAAATATTTAAATTTATATTATTTTTAATCAATTGATCTGAGTGATAAAAGCAAAAAATTCTGTTTATCTTTTCACTGAGCTTTGTGATCTTAGTTCCACGAAGATGAAAGCCATTAAAATTAAGTTGTTTAAATTCTTCTCACGTGTTTTCGAACTTTACCTAACGAAAAGAGAGCGATCGCTTCGGGGATCCCCCATCATGAGTCACCCAAAACAGGGGTTTTCTTTAGCTCTGAAGAAAAGAAAATCACGCAAAAAAAAGGCAAAAAAATTGAAATTCATAGAAAAAACAAGAAATTGATTACACTGCGAATGGCACGCTTTACGCGCATCTGCGGAACCGGTTTACAAAGCATCACATATGACAGGGTTTTCGGTTGCGGCCCGAACCGCTCATGACATTGTGACGTCAAATAATCCAATCCTCTCACTCACTTTGCCATTGTGCTAGTGGGGAAGTGAGCTAGGTTGAGCCTTTTGAATAGGAATAGGAAGGAGTGCACCGAGAAAAAAGGATTTCAAATGTAATATTTTATATATAATATATCCCCTTTGGATGCACGACGCATTATTACATTTATTAACGAGTTCAAGTCACACAGCAGACCAGAAAAAATGTTTTAAATTATTTGTTTTATTAAATTAACTTAACATTTAATCTATTTTTTCTTCCTAGTAAGTTGAAGTATGCTTTTAAAAATTAATTTTTAATTTAAATTAATTGTCATATGTAGATAAGTATTTATTTTTCATTCTGCATAAGATTGCTGGGTGACCTGCGGGTGCCCAACTGTTGCTGAGTGCGAAGGAAATGTGTGTGCCTGACATTTCAACGAAGCCACTTTGGCAAATCACTTGACTGAATCAACAGATTTATATGCCATGCCAACGGCGCTGCTTTTGCTATTAATGCGATGGGGGGCACCATCCAACCACCCAGCCACCAAGCCACCCAGCCACCCACATTACGCATCTTTACGGGTGGCTGAAGTTCGAGTCGATTGGGGCAAAGAATACTACAATTTGATTTATGGCCGACTTGAGTTGCGAATGAATAGAAAAGGGATGGTGGCGCTTTTTGTGGGTCGATGTCGATGGCGCCATTAAGAGGAGCATTGCATAACTAAGAGAAATAGGTAAATAAGATAAGCGATGGATTATTTGGAGCTCGTAAAATTAGAGAGCTCCAAAAGAGTACTTACTCTAAACGTGCGAGATAACACTTTTTTAAAAGAAATTGATTACAATCTTTAAAAGGCCTATAGTAACTAATAAACTTGTATAGCTATCAATCAATAAATATTTTCATATATATATATAGTTTATAAATTTTTACAAATATAATCGCAGAGTTTTGGCTTGCTATATTAAAAAAACAATATAGTCAAAAGTTTTCAAAGCATTGAAAAGATATTATCGACCCTATAAAGTTTATATATTTTTCCTCTAAAAAGACTGAATCTAGAAACTGGATCAGACGACTATATCATACAGCGCCCAAAGTAATAATCGAAAAAATATGTATTTTTTACGAAATCCGCGATTTGAAAAAAAAATAAAAATAATAAGTGACTTTAAAGACGGAACAAAAATATGCTATCAACTTTGTGAACCATTAATTACAAACATTAGTTTGCTGGATTTACATTTTCTAGCACCTGTTGATCAACCTGTTTAAGAAAACGATTCAATTACATCGAGAGGTGATAGCTTTCAAAACATTATAAACGAGTGCTCTTGGCTTTGTTTTCTCAATCTTCTTGATGTATTATTAAAATTTTTCTTTATGTAAAAGTATTATAACTCAAACAAAATAGGACACCAAAAATAAGATTTATTGTTTATTGTTTTTTCTCATAGTGAATTTGTTTATGGTCTATGTTTCTTTGATTACTGGGGTTGTTTTAGCCAGATGCAGATCTTAGGCACCAATACGGCAGGAACGCGCGTAGGAACGACCCAAACGGAAACAACAAAAGTCGAGCCGCGTCCGAGGCACGCACTGCGACCGGATTTTGAACCCGATCGGGAAGATAATGGAAAAACCGATTACATGAGACAAATTTTGGTTGTTTCGCTTCATATTCTCCAGTCAGTCGGGCGAACGCATTAGAGTAGTGCATATTTCAGCAGAAACAAAATCGAAAAGTACTTAGTAAATGCTATAGGTAGTTACAACTTAACAGAACTAGATGCACCCAGCTACTGCGCGATGGTGGATGGCAGATTGAGCAGCGTGCTCTGTCCGCTGGGCAAGTAGGCAACGCCGCGAGACCTGGATAGCTGGTAGGCGATATCCTCGGCGGCCTCAATACGACGCAGCTCCACCAGACCGTCTCCGGCCTCGCCGAACGACTTGGCCAGCAGACCAGCGGCTTCGGCATCACCCTCCGCGGAAATGATTGAGGCCAGCTTCTGCTGTTCGGCCTTCTCCACGACGAAACGCGCCTTCTCGGCCTCCTGCTGGGCCACCTGCTTCATCTCAACGGCCAGCGTGAATTCCCGTCCAAAGGTCAAGTGCGTCAGCGAGATGTCGTCCAGAATGAAGCCGAACTGCTTGGCACGGAGAGTCAACTCCTGGGAGACACGCTGCGACACCATCTGCAAAGGTTAAAACAAAGTTAGTTATTCTGTAATGATAAAAAAAAATAAGCAAAGGGTTTCCCTATGAGATATGTTTACATAGCTCAACACAATGGCTTTTAATTTAATCTTTTTTCTGGACTTTAGAATGTCGAATATCTAATTCAATTTTTGAGGTCCAAGATTTGCCAAGCTCGTACTGAATTAAGGTTTCATCCTTTAGTTCTACCCACCTCACGCTGGGTGATCAGCTCGCCGGCATCGAATTGGGCGACCACAGCCTTCAGCACCTCGGGTGCGATGGAGGGCAGGACGCGCTCGTCGTAGTCCTGGCCGAGGATCGTGTAGATCTTGGGCAGCTGGTCGGGAATGGGACGGTACAGGATGCGCAGCGTGATGTTGACATTCTGCAGATCCTTGCTGCCCGTGATCACAGGCACATTGCGGGGCTGCGAGCGGATGTCGAAGATGATGGGCCGCTGCACCCACGGGATGAAGAAGTGGGTGCCCTCGCCGACCACGTTCTCCTTGATGCCGGTGAAGCGATCGAAGATGACCGCCCGGTGGCCACCCTCCACATTATATAACGCCGAATTGATAACGCCACCCAACACGGCCACACCGAGGCCCATTTGGCCAATTCGATTGAAGAACTGAGCAGCCATTATCTTTGGGAAGAACCAAACGTAAAGTATTCAGTTACTGTCTTATATCTATATACATATGTAAATAAAAAGCCGACTGGACTTGGGAAATTTCATTAGTTTTTTAGGTTAGAACGTCATGGCTGGCAGACAACGTGCTGTTTATGTGTTTTTATGCCCATTTCGAGTGGTATTCCAATGCAATTTCGTCGGTCTGCATTTAAACTTACTTATTTAAGCTTTTTGGTTTCAATTAAATCAAATTATTGTGCAATTTTGCCCTTTGAATGAACAAAACACGAAATTCAACGGCACGGCTGAGCAACTCGGTTATCGATGAAATAGAGTTGCCAGGGAGCCACTACTTATCGATGCTTTTACCATATGTGAAGTATCGACTCCGTTCATTAATTTATAATTAAATTCTTTGAAAGGTAAATTTTTTCACGACAAATTTACTTATGGTATCGAAATCTTATATTTAGGGAATCAAAAATTATGCAAAGTATTTCATAAATTAGCTTTAAAATCGACACATAGATGGCGCCACCAAAGTACTTTACAAAATTATCGATATCGACTATTTATCTTGGCGCCAACATTTGAAAATGTATTTAAGCTCAACTTTTTTTATCTTTTAGCCAAAAATACAATTTTAAAAACTTTTAAAGAATATACCTTATAACCGTTTTGGATAAAATGCGTTTTAATTGGCACCCCTAGACAGTCCCAATTTATTGCGTCATTTCAGCCCGCCCTGCGCCCTTTGGCATCTTCTTATTCGTAGAATCCTCCAGCTCCTTGGCCTTGTAATAGTGCGGCGCCACCTCCAACAGCCACTTGCTTTCGATTTCGATCACCTGTCGCATGTACTCCTTGGAGGTGAAGACCAGTTCGTGGTAGAGCACCCAGCGCGGGAGCTCCTCAAAAAGCGAGGAGTTCGGGTGTATCATCACCGTCTGGTTGTGCTTGATGGTCTTGTAGTGACCGCCCTTGGAAAGACGCGCCACATGATAGAAGTATCCGGCGGTGGCTGCCTTGCGAACGTTTACAGTCTCTGGCAGGCAGCTAACCATATCGATTTCAACGCGCTGCATGAGTCCAACCAGCTGCTCTCGCACATCGCGTGCCCTTTTCATTGACCTGTACTGAATGAAGTTCTCGTAGCACCACTGGGTGCTGTAATCCGTCTCCGCCCATTGATTGTACACCTGCAGCAGACTCAGATGATCGCCGTGCATGTGATTGAAGTTCTTTCGGGCCGTGTCAGCGTGGATTATTTTGTCCTTTGGCCTGTAGAAGATGGCGCTGTTCACGGACAGCATGGCTGCAATGGTCACCATCTCCTCCGAACATTTGTATCTGCACAGGAATATGGGAATTTAGCAAGAATTTTACAAGAATTGCTCATTATTACTTACTTTTCGCTGGCAAGCAGCATTTTTCCCATCATTGGATCCACTGGAAACTCGGCCATTCGTCGTCCCAGCTTGGTCAGCTCCCCGTGGTGATTTAGTGCACCCAGGGCGTACAACTGTTCAAGGGCCAACACTAACGTCTCGTGCGGCGGTGGATCCAGGAAGTCAAAATGTATCAGATCGTTGATACCCAGAGCCTTAAGCATAAGCACCGCGTTGCCCAAATTGATGCGTTGTATCTCCGGAACTGTATTGTCCTCCAGTTCGTGCTTGTATGCCCATGCCGTGTACAGTCTGAAGCACTTTCCCGGTGCAGTGCGTCCCGCTCTGCCTGCTCGCTGATTTGCCGAAGCCTTCGAAATGGGCACCACCATCAGCGACTCCATGCCAGTGCGGGAATTGAAATTATTCTGCTTGGCAAACCCTGGATCAATTACATATATGATATTATCGATGGTCAGCGAGGTTTCAGCGATATTGGTGGCCAGAATCACTTTTCGGGCATTCGGAGGAGTGGGCTCAAAGATTTTGGCCTGCATATCACTCGGCAGATTCGCATAGACGGGTATAACGATAAGCTCTCGGATTTTGGAGCCCAACCGCTTGACTCGATCCTGCAGAACCTCCTGGCAGGTTTCGATCTCATCCTGACCCGTAAGGAACACTAAAATATCGCCCAAAGGCTGGGTGGCATGGATCTGCAGCACTGAAACGCAACAAGCATCGATGTAGTCCGCTTCTGGCGCTTTGGTATAAAATATATCCACTGGATAGCGGCGACCGGGTATCCGAAAGATGGGGGCATCATCGAAGAAAGCGGAGAACTTATCCGCATCCAGAGTGGCACTGGAGATGAGGAGCTTCAGTTCAGGCCTAAAACGTGCAATATCCTTGACCAAGCCAAACAAAATATCCGTGTGAAGTGTCCGCTCGTGAGCCTCATCGATAATCATCACACTGTAGGAGGCGAGATCCGGTTCCGACAGGAACTCACGATGCAGTGTGCCATCCGTCATGTACTTGAGAATGGTGCGATCCGAAGTGCAGTCCTCGAAACGGATGCTGTAGCCCACCTCGTTGCCTAGCTTCACGCCCATTTCCTCGGCCACACGCGCCGCCACGGACATGGCGGCCACTCGACGTGGTTGGGTGCATCCGATCATCTTTTTGTCCTTGGTGAAACCAGCTTCGACAAGATACTGCGGCACCTGGGTAGTTTTGCCCGAGCCCGTTTCACCCTCGATAATAAGCACTTGATGTTCCTTTACAGCAGCTATTAAATCATCTTTAAAGGGATAAACGGGCAGGGATCGTTTGGTTTCATCCAATGTCAAACGTTTGCGTTCCTTTTCAGTAAGTTCCGGCTGGCGGCTAGAGGATTTTTCGCGACTTCCGTCCAGGGTTAATGCTTGTATAAAGTCAATTTGATCATCTAGGAGCAGCTCGTACTCCTCCTGCGCCTTGGCATCCTTGGCACCGAACTGAAAACGCGCCGAAGCCAACTGCTCGGCCTCCCACTTCTTTTGCTCCGAATTCGGTTGCCTCTCGAAGTCATCCACCTCAACGTACTCAGCTGGAAAAAAGAAAGTATGGAGATAATTATTTGGTAACTTTACAGAACTTACAATAATCTTGTGAAAATTTATTAAAGAAGGATTACTTAAGTTATGATGGGTTTAAAGTTCACATAAACTATAAACTGTATTTTCTAAGGCCAAAGGACACAGTTAAACTCACATCGCTCGCCCTTTTTCAAGTCCTGTGGCATATGATACCGCTGTACGCGCTCCAATTCCCGCGCCTTCTCGTGCTCCTTGGCAATGTTCAACAGTTGCTTCTTGTACTGGCGCTCCTCCTTCTCCCGTTTGGTTAGGCTAAAAAGGGGAATTGACTCCTTGATTACAAATATGTTGGTAAGAAAAAAATCATTATCTTACACGCTCTCATCAAAGAGATATTCATCGTCCAGGATGTCCGCCTCCAGCTCGGCCACCTTGTCGTCCTTGCGCTTCTCCAGGTACTGGCGACGCGACTGGAGACGCAAATGGGGCACAATCTTATCCCGATCCTCGTGCTCCAGCTTGAGGCGCTTGGTGGCCTCCTCGATGGCCTTGCGCCCGCCGGTGGAGTCCACCACCTTGCGCGTGCGGTCCTCATCCCGCTGTTTTAGTCGGTTGGCGAACTCATCGCGCTCCTGCAGATCCTTCAGGCGCGACTCCTCCTCGCTGTCCGGCTCCTCGGCACTGCTGCTGCTGCTGGCCGTTCGTTTCCTGTTTTTACTCGACATTTTTACTAATAAACAACCGAAAATGCAAAATAAAAACAATGCAGAAGAAGAAGTGACCGGTTTCGATAAGAAATTCGATAACAAAACGTGCTGGCAGCTTAGCTATTTTCGATTTGGCTATTTTCAGACTCCGCTGATTAATGATCAAATATTTTTATCTATTTTATGTTGAGGTGATCCGAAATACCAATAAAAAACTGAGGTTTGTTGGCTTAGATAAAAAAACAATTCCAATAATACTTTGTTGATAGCTTTTAATTTAATTTTGTTTTATTTTTAAATATATATACAAGAATTCTAGATTTTTAGACTTTTAAAAGCTAACTGGCCAAATTTGGCAACACTGATGGCTTGTCAGCTGTTTTTATTTTGCAACTCACCTCAGGGAACATGTCGCGCCAATTGAGTTTTAATCCACAAAAGGAATATGAGTTGATTGAATATCCCGGCAAAGTGGTTAATCCTGACCGGATGATAGCCACTCTGGGCGGCATTATCAATGTATCCAAGGTAAATATTGTAGTATTATAATGGCCAGTTTATTGATCATCTTTCTTTAATTCCAGGTGCTGGGAGATGAAGTAAAACGTATGGCGTTGCACTTCCACCCGGAGAATCCCTATAATAAACCCACTTTTGGTGATGGCACGGATAAAACTGGTGTCCTGCTCTCCATTACGGTGAGACGTCACAAAAAGGACAAGCAGCGGCCACCGGAATATTTTGTCAGAGTTTTGGGCCACTGCAGCAGGAGTTTTACTTTCGAAAGTGAGAGTGGCAGTTTGGGATTAACTACATTTGCTAATATTATATCCACTCCCAGCACTTTGTGACTTTCAGTATTTACCACTGTGGTCAACCCCAAGAAGTGAGAATGCCAATGCTGCCCAGGAGCTCACCTACGCATTGGATCAATTGAAACCCAGGGACACCTCCGATTTGGATTTCTTTAAGTGAGTAATTGCTCAGAACAGGAAAGATCTTGAAGGAATACCAAATAGTTAATGTTAAAACAACAGCTTATTAAATCGATTCCATCTTCATATAGACGTCGACACAATCAGCTCTTGGCTCTGCCCGAATTGTTTACCCACGTGGATGTGGTCTACTCGGGCACCTATCGCATCGATGGCGCGGAGGATGGCCAACAGGAGGTGCTGGGAGTGCAATCCAAGGCCACGTACGACAACCAAGGAGTGGTCTCATTCAACATGGTGGACAGTTTCCCCACCCAGGCGGACACCCAAAACCTCAAACGTCTCAAGGTGAAGTACGTTTCCGATGAGCAATTGGCCTTGGTCAAGAAGCTATTCGATGACTGCCCCATTTGGACGAGGATTGCCCTGCAATATGAATCTGGGCTGACCAACGACAAGCTCAAGTGCATCACTCCTTCGCTGGCTTTTTACTTCAGCAACGGTCCATGGCGTACTTTATACGTCCGCTTTGGCTACGATCCTCGCAAGGATTTCAACAGTCGCTACTACCAGACCTTCGATTTCCGGCTGCGTTTCAGCACTGGCCTCTCGGAGTTCGTTTACGCCAAGAAATTCGTGAAGCAACGAAGGGCAGCGAATGCTCCGTTCGCACCCATCGAGGATCGCGTTTCCGATTTGGTTCAGGACATTGACTACCCGTACTTCGACGAGCACAAGTTGCCGCGCTCCAGGCAGTGCATGCTGCGTTATTCCGACGTCCGTATGGCGAAGATCCAGGAGATGCTGGAGAAGATTCCCACACCGTTGACCGGTGCCGTGTGCAACGAGCGGACGGGCTGGTTGCCACCAGGATTCGATGCTCAGGTGCGACAGATTGTCTGTGGCAGCATAAGTGAACTTTTGCGCAACCATTACCGCAAGGAGAACCTAACGGCTGAGGTGGAAGCGGTTACCCAAGTCGACGATGAGGACGACGAGCCCGAGGACGAGGATACGCAGGATACGCAGGAGGAGGACATGGAGCTGGACGAAACGCAGGCCATGAACAACTCTGAGCAGTTCGTGGACAATGACATCGAACAGCTCTTTGATAATATCACTAGCTGAATGGAGAACTGACTGAAACTATTACATGATAAGATTTTAATATAAATACACTTTTTTTTTATAAAATGCAAACCAATGGTTTAATAATTATGTTCGCATGGTGTTATAAAAAATCTTTAAAATTCATTCATTTAAATGAAGCATAGGCGCGGCCTTTATTCATGGTTAGTTATACAGATAAGTGTAATAAATTTCATTTCTCAATAGCAGAAGCTACAATTAAGTGTCGCAAGATGTTGTTAAATTTTGTTTTAAATGCTGGCTGATGGAAAAACTGGTATTCCACTGCTTAGGGCTTGCATCTGTCAAGGAAACGGGGATACAGACACACCTCGCGGATGTGGTAGCGGTTGAGCAGCCAGCAGAGGAAGCGCTCCAGTCCCAAACCATAGCCGCCATGGGGCATCGTACCGTAGAGGCGCTGGTCCGTGTACCAGTAGTAGGGCGTGGGATCAATACCCTCGCGTGCGTAACCCTTGAGCAGCTCCTCGCTGTCGTAGATCCTCATCGATCCACCCACAATTTCGCCCACATTTGGCAGCAGCACGTCCACGCTTTCGGTCAAACGCTGATCCTCCTTGCAGCGCTGCATATAGAAGGACTTGATTTCCGCCGGGAAACGGCAGAGCATAATTGGTTCGTTGATGGTGTCGGTCATCTTGCGCTCCGGAGCCTCGGGAATATCCTCGCCAAACTCGTAAAACGTGCCATCGTCCTTGGTCACGTTGTTCTCCTTCAGCCACTTGATCGCATCCACGTAGTTCATGCGACGGAATGGCTTCTGCGGCGGCTTGAAATCGGGGTTAAGCTCCTTGACCAAATAGCCCCAGGGGGACTTCAAAACACGATCCACCACATCGCAGACCAGATCCTCCAGTCGATCCAGGAGCTCATCGAACGTGATGAATGGACACTCGGCCTCGACGTGAGAATATTCAGCCAAATGGCGACGTGTGCGACTCTGCTCGGCCCGATAACTCTGTGAAATGGTAAAGACATCGCCCAAAGCCGGCAGGCAGGTCTCCAGATAGAGCTGCGAACTCTGGGTAAGGTACGCCTCCTCGCCAAAGTACTTCAGCTTGAAGAGCGTGGAGCCACCCTCCACCTGGGTCTGCACTAGAGTCGGTGGCGTCACCTCGTTGTAGCCACGTGACTCGTAATGCGCACGGAAAGCCTGTGCGACCACGGAACGCATCTTGAGCACCTTTGAGGTGTTCTCGCCACGAATCATGATGTGCCGGTTGTCCAGCTGCACATCCGGTTGGGCTTCCTCGTTGAGAATGGCATCGGCACCGCCGGGCGGAGCCAGACCAATCAGTTCCCAGTAGTCCACGTTGAGCTCGTGGCCACCAGGTGCGGTTTTGCCCTCAGGAACCAACTTTAGCGTGCCGAACAGCACCACAGAGCTCTCCGTGCTCAGGGTGAGGGCATCGTAGGTCTGGCAGAGCTGATCGTTGAGGACACACTGCAGGAAACCGGTGCCATCGCGCAGGGTGATGAAGATCAGGGATTTACCCTGACGCCTCAGGCGATGCACCCAGCCGTAGATCTTGACGCGAGAATCCCGGCTGGAGGTGCCCTCGAAAATGCGAATTTTTCGGGCCGCCGGCAGACTGGAATCCTCCGAGATCTTTATCTTGCGTGCTTCATCCAGATTTTGTTGGCGTTTCTCCGCATCGTCGGCCTCGCGCTGCTGCTTTTCGGCATTCTTGTGGGATTCGCGAACGAAGAGTTTCTGGATCTTCTTCAGCTGGGATTTGGCAGCCGGCTCGTAGGGCTCCGCAGCATTGGGATCCTTGCTGTCCACGTAAATGGTGGGAAATGGCTCCTTGCCAGCGTGACGCATCGCCTGCAGAATGGTCTTAAACGGCTTAGATTCACTGCCATCGCCCGACTCATCGCTGCCCTTCTTCTCCGACGTGAAGATAGCACCTGCACATGGTCATACATATGTATAAATATTGCACATTAGAGATCGATACTTTCGGCCGACTGACAACGTGGACGGCTCTAATTAATATTAATCTATTAATTATCTTACCCAAGGTTAACTCTGCCATTTGATCGGCTGGCATCTTATTTGCTTTGTGACTACGATTTTACTGGTAAACTCGCCTTATATCTCGGAAATATATGCGTAAAATTGCATCAGCTTCAACTCCTTTGCCAAAACGATACCTCACGCCGGATACTCGATAGACTCGATAGATAAGAAGCGAGTGTTGGAAAACACCGACTGCCACGCAAACGCTTAAAGCTAAATATAGCCAAACTTTTGAATGTTGAGCGCCAATTAACTTATATTCGAATAAATTTATCAAAACAACATACATACATACCTTTTTTTACAATCAAAAATTAATATTGGGCTTACTAGAAAAATTAATAGTAATATGAAAATAAGTAAGTAAAAATAAATCCTATGGATGCTATAAGTACAGAAAAACAGGGTTTGAATGCTGACTTTGGCAGAAAAGAAATGTTATGGTCAACGAAAATGTTACTAAATAATTTTCAAAATTCATTCATAGCAGTAATAGTTTTGCCAATAAAAACTTCATTAATTGCAATATAGCCAAATCTGGCTTTAAAGCTTAAAAACTCTTCCTCTTTCTTTTCGATAGTTACAGTATTTTTTACAGTATTTTTTAGCACCTTGTGCATTGTCAGAGAAACGTAAACAATAAGGAAAATGCCCTCGGAAAATAGGTAATTTTCGTTTTAAAGACCCTGAAAACAGGATAACCAAATTGCCCGATACCCAATCTTTCCCCTTAGAATCAAAATCCTGCCCAAGGCGGTGGTTTGCGAGGAGAGCAACCTTCGCGGTGACATCACCTTTTCGTCGGGCTGTGTGGTTCATCCCAGTGCCACCGTTATCGCCGATGCAGGACCCGTAATAATTGGCGAAAACTGCATCATCGAGGAGTATGCAACCATAGCACATCGCTTGGAACCCGGCGCATCATGGGATGTCAATAATATCCTAAGCATTGGCAGCCACAATGTCTTCGAAGTGGGTTGCCAAGTGGAGGCAGCTCGCATTGGCGACAAAAACGTATTCGAGAGCAAGTGCTTTGTGGGCCGTGGCGTTACCGTTTCCAATAGCTGTGTGGTGGGTGCTGGGATTAAAATACACACCAGTCAACTTCTGCCGCAAAACACCATTGTTTATGGCGAACAAGGACTGCAGCGCGAGGCCATCGATAAGCAGGGATCGCAGACCCTTCAAATCGATTTCCTTCGCAAGGTCCTGCCAAACTATCACCATCTTCGCAAGCCCAACTACGATCCCAAGAAGGCGCGCAGCGTTGTCTAGTCTTTACTCTATATATAATCCTTATGTATTCTCCACCTTCACCGCATTAAAGTTAGACATCTCCTTTTCAAAAGTAACGATTGTGTGATCGCATAGTCCTTCCAAGTCCTCCAGTCCCCGCTTGAGTATATCAATGGCTCGATCTCTATGGGATTGGATGCGGAAGTGCAACATCTGCTCGGTGGGATGGGGAATGGTATAGCCACAGAAATCCACCTCTGGATAGCGGGCTATAATGGTTTTCAGCGCATTGCCCAGCGTGTGTCCCTCGTTGCTAAACACAAAAGTCCGCGAGCCTTCGCCGTTCTTCTCATCGCCAGCCAGCTGGTAAAAATATGAAACAATCAGTTAATCAAAAGCCATTATGTATGTTTTGTCCTATAAGAACCTCTGCCAATGCTCCCATTTTGTGATAATTTAAATATTTCTTCGGTTGTTTACAAAAAAACGTGCGAGGCACGACTTGACTATCGATTGTGTGACTATCGAATAATTGTCTATAAATGTAGCTAAAAATGGACAAGAGCTAACAGGGTCACACTCTCTTAGAGCTGGGAGAAGCATTTATATATAAGAAAAAATAAACTAATAAGCTACCTTTACAAAATAATTCTTAGGAAGAAATGTAAATGTAAATCAAATTGGTTTATTCGGATTTTCCCGGTAGATTTACAAACCTTGCAAGATTCTCCTTCTTTGTAAGTGATTTATTAATTTATTTTTAATTTAAAATTCTGTATTTGATTTACTAATTGTATGTACTTTTTGATTTCGTACTTCCTTTTTTTTTAATTTGAGCAGCAAAAAACTGTCGATATCCGCTTATTGTCTTATCGATGTATCGGTATAAGCTCAACGTTTTTACCTGCTTTAGTTCTTTACTCGTTCTGATACGGACGCGGTTTTGGACTCTTTGTGTGGTGTTTGCTAATTCGCTTCGTTCTGTTGCCAATTTTATTGGAGGCCAGCTGCGAAATCATTTTGTGCGGGTGTGGGGCCAAAACGAAAGAAAGAAGTGTCGCAAACAGCCGCATTAGCATAATTATAATTGCATGCCGCCTTTTGCGTGTATATGTGTGCATGTCACAGTGTAGTATGTTTGAAAGCATCAGCAGAAAAGGCGCCAAAAAAGAGGAGACCTAAAATAAAGAAGAATACAAAAGCACAAAAAAACTGCAACGCCAAACATAATTTCTTTCGCAATGCATTTAACGTAAAGTTGCTCCAAAAACACCGACACCTGGCCAAAAACGCATACAGCGAAGGAATAAACTGCAATACAGGTTTGTTTTTGCTTATTGCACGAAATGTGATTAATAATAATACTACATAAATAAGCTTTTTGAACAGCCGAAATGTCAATTAATATTTGTTTTTGGCCATGACGGCCACTCCCCCTTTTTGGGTCCCAAAATTATGCAAATTCATGCAGCTACAAAAAATAAGGCAGCTGACGCTGCGCAGTCGACGTCGCTGCCAGCGAAGGCGGAAGTGATGCCTAAAAAATACCAGTTCCAGAGGCTTAAGCTTTAGCGTTATTTCGCCTGCTGTTCTGCTTTTTTTTTGCTACTCCCGGCACATTTAATTTTGAATACACACTGCATTTTGGTTAATAGTCAAAAAGGTTACTGGTTTTGGATTTTGATCAGTACTATCAACGGTTGTATTTAAATATTTAAATAAATTAAAAAATGATAAACTTTGATTTCAGAAAAAAAGAATACAACATATTACTACGTATTTTAAAATTTCTTTACTTGTGATCAACAAAAACAAACAAACATTTCAAAAAGTCTTATCTCTAGCTACATATGTATATTCCCAATTTCGCAATAGACGTTAGCCAATATGCATTGTATTTTGTATCCACTGGTTGCTATGGTCTCGTCTCTGCCCCCTCTCCCTTCTTCTCCTTTTTGTCATCCTGCTGGCTCCTTTGCTCTAATTTGTTTGGTGGTCCCACACACACATCTGTTGTGTTTTGGTGGTGACTAATGCGACAGCATGTTCCGTTATCTCATGCGTTCCCCTCTCCCCACCTCTTTGCTCGCCCAGGGTTGTGTTGTAATAATCTCATGTTTCGTTTGGCGCCATGCGTTCCCCCAATTTGCAGTTGTTGCAATTTCGGTCTAGGCTGCGTTCCGTTTCCAGTTCGTTTCCCCCATTATGTTGGGCGCCCTTTTTGCTAGTTGTTTTTACATGGACTGCAGTATATGTGTATGTATATATTTTACATGTCTGCCGGCTTTTGCTGCCTTACAGACATACATATATTGTGTGTGAGAGCGAGTCAGCTGCTCTCTCCTGGCCAAAAAAGGGGTTTGTTTTCTCTCGCTCTCTCCTGGGCCGACTATTCTTATTTTTATGGTTTTCTTTTTTGCGTTTGCAATTATTTTGGCTTTGTAGTGGTTACAACAAAGGAACTGCATTTAAGCGTCACGATCGTCGCAAAAAAAAAAATAAGAAGATGAAGAGGAAAGAGAAGTAAGAAATGGTTCTGGGAATATGATACAGAGGGTTCTCGTTTGGCCCGTGTAAATAAACGCAACATTATAGTATACAATGATATATGGCCTGCACATAGGGAAAATAACTTGCCTAGCATTTACTCGCGAAACTGATTCGTAAACACTTTCCGCACTTGTGTGTAAGATTGCACACTAAACCCAAACGAGACTTACATATGTATGTATGTACCTGCCTACAAGTCATACACAGGAAGAACAAATCATGTAAAATGATGACCAAATTATAGATTCATCATATCCTTTTGCACTGTTTTCTGGTCTTTCAATTTATTTTGAACTATTTAAAATAAAGTATGGTACCATATTTTTTTACCAGAAGCTGATTCTAAGTGTAGTTAAACTTGCAAATAAATGGTACAAGTTGATGGGGACAGAAACTGTGAGTTCTCCCTAGAGTGGAATGTCTTCCAGCGTGAGCCATGAATATTGCAGAGATCTATGTATCTTCTTGAAACACCAAAAAACCTGCCAGGACGCTGTCACATGCAACAACAGTGGGTCACTATTATAAAGTCACAAATGAGCATATCTGAAATGTGAAAGATTTTATAGATTTCATGTTGTTCTATTTAATTTCTAACCACATAGTAAACCTTCAAAAGTAGTGAATTGTAGAGGCACCCTTTCAAATAAATAAAAACAATTTTTTTTTGTATTAGAAATATTATAAAAAAAAATATTTTTTTTAGTAACTGAATTGAAAGACTTTCAAAAGTTGAAAGACTTTCAAAAGTTGTTTTTTTAAATTATGTACATGTTTTATATAATCATTTTTTTCGAGTGCCCACTGTGCAACAAATTTCCAAGGATGCTGCAGACATCGAAAGCCAAACGAAACGAAATAAAATAAAATACTCTGACTGATGGGGGGAAAGAAGGAAATGGACTGAGCATAATGAGTTGTAGAAGGGGGCAAAGGAGAGCCGGGTTCAACAGCAGACAGAAAAAGGCGAAGTGGCAATAGCACAAGACGAAGATGCAGAGCTCAGGGAATAAGGAACAGAGAACAAGGAACAGACGGATACACGGACACGACTACGTGATATTCCCAACATCCTGTGCAGCGAGACACGAAGGAGGTGGGGAGCGCAATAAAGAAGGAGAAGAAGACTGCGAAGGCGGAGTCGGGGGAGAGCGCAAAACCTGTCATCTGCTGCCGGCTGCATTCGATACGGGCCACGAAAAGGAGAAGGAAACTGTGGAGAGAAGACAGAAACGCAGAAGGATGAAGCTGCAGGCATTTTTAGAATTCCAAAAATCAACATAAAAGACCAAGTAAATGAACAATAATGGCCAGACAAACTACACAGAACAGAAAATTGTAATGCTATGTTTTATATTTTGAAGCCTGTACATGTCCTTTTAGTATCTTATAACAAATATCTATTTTAATTGCTTGGTAAAAGACCGACAAAAATAGCAGCGTGGGATTAAATTAACTACCAAAAAACAAACGTTTTGAGATCGAGCTTCTTTTTTTAGTGTAAGAAGAGCAAGTCACAAGGAAGCTGAATCGACTCTTACCTTTTTTCCCCTCTTGTTATTTTATTTGTGCGTGATCGCAGTCCAGACGCAGCAGCAGCGACGCCGACTTTTGCAGCGGCAGAGAGACATAAAACAAACAAAACCTACACATGCCTTTTTCTCTTATTTCCCCTTTGTTTGGATTTCCTTGTTTATAGCATTCGATGGGTCTCAAAATTTTGCAGTGTTTGAAAAAGGATACCAGCAGTCAAAATTTCAGTTTGCTGTTTTAAAAGCTTTGGCAACACCTTTATTACCAATCAGGAAAATGGAATTTATTTATCTTTGGATATAAAGATGCTGTGCAAAAAAACAAAACTCTCAAAGCAATAGATAAACAAATATGTAATTTTATTTTGTTTTAAACCTAAAAATATATTTTACTGTTTTAAATTTAACTTTAAAAATGTCATTTGTTTAAATTTTAAAATGAAAAGTTTAAGGTTGCACAAGTAACTTTTTCTTTTATCTGCTTTGTATTAAAGTTGATTGAATGAATCAAGTCGCTAAAAATATGCGATTTTTATTTTTTATTTGATTTATTATTATTTTATTTTTTTTCCAAATACAGAATACCAACTGTTTCCGATAAATTTAAGCCCTTAATTCTGATCCCTGTTCTTTGGTCTTAAGAAATCCTTAAATCAGAATAATCAAAAGCTTCGTGACAGAAAAGTGAAAATAAGTGTGGCTTTTGATTTCCGTCCTGTAGTTTCAAGTGAATAAAAAGGGGAAATGGGGAAAAAAAACACCAGTAAGACTTGTGGTTTGCTATTGAAATGCATGTTTTATTTTGTACCTAAATTATTTGTACATTTTTTCAAGGCACGCTTGGGGGGATTTGCATAATACGCCGTAGAGCAGCCGTAAAATGTGTCCGATGCCGTCTGTTGCCATCGCACATATTGCTGATGGGTGTTGATGTTGCTGTAGCTTTTGGTGGTGGTTGCTGTGTGGCCTCAAAGGACTCGCATCCCCTGTGTGTCCTGTGCCTAGTTTCATTTCATTTTCGTTTCACTTTTTTTTCTCTGTTGCTTTCCACTTTTATTGTTGAACTTTACAGCTGCCGCTTTCATTTCATTTCAATTCATTTTGTTTTTATTTTTTTCCCTTGTCCAACTTGCATTTTTCCCCTATCGGTGTGTGGCTTATTTTTGGCAGGGGTGGTTTTAACTTATATGGAACTTACGACAGCATTTTGTATGCGTCTGACTTTGATCCCTTTTCCGGGGGGTGGGTCGGACCTCTGTCGTCTGGCCTCCCCCTCGGCAGCATTAGGGAAAGTGTCTTGCAAATAAATAAATAGTCATGTCAGCCATATTATTAATGCCCGGGAAGAAAGGAAGCAAGGATAGGAATGGAGTGGAATGGAAGGTAGCTTACGGTCTGCATTCACATGGGTGTCTGGGTGATGGGTGTCGAG